GCATTGAATTGAATTTTATATTCATCTAGATATATACTACAATCACTACTATATACTGTTATTCTAACACAATCAAGGACTTGGTATCATGATATTGAACTAAAATATCATTTTGTTCGGTTTCTAAAGTGACCAAAAATGTATCTAATTGATATGTTTAGTAGGTTAAAGGGATCGTTTATATTGTTTTCATAAGCCAAGTGTGATGTGAAGTTTGGTCGGTAGAACACAATCCTAGGTCGTTCAACAAGTCTTCTTACAGAAAAACATTTCAAAAGTAGGAGGAATAAGTTACAAAATTTTCCTTGGGCAGTGCACCTGTATTGCTATAATAATAGTTTAGTTGTGTCGGCCTACAATGGTAAAATACCATTAAATATGGTGTAAGTTGTATTAACTACTATAGGTTATGCCCTCCATAGTCCCCCGGCCTTGATGTTGTATTCTATAGAAACATTAAGCATCTTTAACAAGGTTGTCCCCCTGGGGATTTCGGGCTATTTGAAAGTAAAGAAACCCATCCACACTAACCCTGTCCCGTTCACATCAAATACCATTTGTTAAACAATTGTGTAATAGTTATTCGTAATACTTATATAATAACCAAACTTGAGATTTTAGGTTAATTAATTTTCTATGATGTAATTGTCTAATTAATTTAAGAATTGGTAATTTTGCTTCTTTTCTATTATCTATATTATATATATTTTAATATTAACAACAACGTGAAGTTTTGTAAAGCATATCCTTGTGATTTCAAAGTTTATAAATATTTGACTTTACACCTCTTCCAATTTAAATAAACAAGTGATAGTCTTGTTGCCATGACAACTCGTCTGGATGTGGGGCAACAATTTACAAACCAGGCAGAATAAACTGATAAAATTTTACAAGTGATACAGGGGTTATCACTGGTTAAAAGTAGTAATTACGTACACTTAGTGGAAAACCCCAACATTTAATTTACACTGGGTTTTGGTGGCGAGTGATAAGCAACATTTACTATGATAGTAAACTTTAATCACAAGCAAAAACATTAAACACTCCGCTAATGATCGGCTCCTCTTACCAAGAAACTTTATGAACTAACTTGGAAATATATGAGGTGTCCTTCCAAAGAAAATACCCTTAGAGATCCTGCTGCCGTACTTATTTAAGTATCTAAATTTCAAATCAAATCATTATAATGCGTAATGGGTAATGTTTGAAGGTGTCACAATGAAAACCCAACAAACAATACAAACGGATAAATTCAATGAATTAGGACAAGCCATAAAAATTATACTAAAAAATCCCCAAAACATTCCATAATAAAGGGCATCAGCCAGAGCTAGATACTATTGAAAACATATCAGATCAGTACAATGATTAGTGATAAAAGATCGATCGACAAAACAAATACGAACGATTAAACTTTACTCCATAAATAATTAACATGAATTTATGAAACTAATTTGAGTCATTCTGTTTCATATTTTCTCACTTTGCCCAAGTGTTATTATACCCAATTAGATGTGATCTTTGATAAAGACCTCCACATTGGCACATGGCGTCGTATGGTGAAATATGCTTTAGATGCCATTATCGTCCGATATGGGGAGAAAAATGGGCAGTAAAATGGTACTGGAAATGTATTTTCATCAGCTTGTAAATCACTAACAGCCCTCTTAAAATAATTTTCAGTCGGGTCTATCTTTCCTTTCATGTTTAACCGCTATCTAAGTTAAAAGACATCGGGAAGTATATATCAAGCACATCCCTATGATCAAATTACTTCTTTATATACGCCACTAAATATTCTGGATCATATTTTGCCATGACTAAAGAGTTTAATTAATTTAGATACATAAATAACGAATACTTAAAGATACATAGTGAAGCAGAAATCCATCCTCAAAGGAGTTTCAATGCTAATGATTCCTGGTTGAAAAACATACATAGAAGGATGAAAACAGAGTTAATTTGATCTGAATCAGTATCAGAATCATAACTTATCATCTTTTTCATGAAAAACATGACATTTCGGTAAACACGAAATTAATCACACGAAAGTCTGTTTATACCATGGTTTGTGGGTATACCTTTGTTAAGCTTGACAAATGCATTTTGGAAGTGGTCCACAGTTTATATAGATTTTAAACATTGTTGCCAGAATTGCAAATTAGGCACCAAGACAAGCAGACAACACGTGAACTAAACCTGTATCTGTATCTCTTGCTAATACACATCAAACACGGGCAAGAAAAAATCTAACTATATTCTCTATGTTTACTTACTTACAATATAATGTTTCCTTCATTCTACATTAGACAGTTGAGGCCATATTTCACATCTTGTTAACTAGTTTTGATAAATATTGTTTTTTATATACAATGCAAGACTATTTCGTTTATGGTGCTTATTTTCATGATGTACCACAATTCATTATATCATAGTTAAAAATAGTAGTTAGTACTAACAATGAATGAAAATATACATGATATGATAACAGTTTGTATAAAATATATGTGAAATATGATTTAATGAATATATTCATAATTCTCGATACACCGCAAAATATATATTCATTGAATTTATGAAATTAATAATTTAACAATTTTTTCCAAGAGATTAGTGTTCTCGGCTAGCTTAGCCAAACCTGTCAGTAATTCACCAATGCCAGAACTTAGGAATTTAAGAATCTGCATATGTATAGAAAAGATGAGCTCAAAGAGTGGCATGTCAGCTTTCCATCTAGTTAGCAGAAACTTGTGGTATTTATGTACTAGGTGACTTGTTACAAGTAAGTGATCTTCCAAGGAAAATATTGTTTCTGTAATGGTAGCCGAGTGGTTACAAAAGTTGTAAGTAAAAGACAACATACTTAATGGTCAAATTGTAACAATTCTCTCGGGACCTGGGAGGATATATTCCGGCTCACTGAAATGGCACCCTCACAATTTTAAACAAGATTGTAACTTATTGTCCAAAGTTGATTGAATATTAATTAAAATATGTAATCAGAATATCATAAAGTTGTATATCAATACATTGGTATTATGTTGAGAGTGTTGCAAATTTCCTATCCCCATGGAATGTTTGATATTGGAGCCAAACGACCACCACGGACTGTACATTGTTCCCAGACTGTTTACGTGTTTGTGTTAAATAATCATTCAACACAATATCATTCTACATATCAACATATCATTTCTGTCTTAATGGGACACATGTTTTTATTATACATTTGTCGTTTCCCAAACATCAATTAACTTGAGTGACTAGTTAAATGGGCATAAAAGGTATCATTAACCGTGATCCAGGAGTTATCTAGCAATTTAGTACCGTGTCATCTCATAGGCTATCGGTTGCCATGGAGATTTGAAATATATTAAGAGTAATTAGTCATATAGTTACACTAATGCGGACCATTGGGATTTCACCTATGTTTAAACATGATTGTTTTACTTAGAATGGTCTTGGAAGAATTTGCCTCTGGATAATACAGCACTCATCACCGCCCAAAATGGGTCAGAATGTTCCAGATGAACTCAAATGCAGCCAATTTTTTCTACATTATTTAAAACTCTTCAACAAGCGCAAGGACCACCACATATTCACTTTATGATAGTTCTATAATGCGTATCATGATTTGTTGGTTGAATTTTGTTACTGTGTTTACTTTTAATATCCGTTGTTTGGTAATAACCATGTTTTCGTCGAATAATTACTACAATATAGAAATAATAGAAAAATGAAGAAAAACAAAAGTAGTATTGATATTTGTTTTTGATTGTTATCCAATTCAGAAAAAATAAAGACTTTTTTGAAACAGAGAAATTAACAGTTGTAATAACCCAAGGAGGTAAGAGGTGGTAGATTTTCAAGAAAGCCAAAACAATTAATTTTTGATAAGTTTAAATTGAGGTTACAAGACATCAAAGCTCCACATTATATAATTTATAATATTCTATTACCAAGACATTTGTGCTCTCTAAGAAAAACAATACAACATAGATATATCATTTCATCCAAATTTAATAAACTCCATTAAAAGTGGAATACCAGTAAATTATAGCGTATCAATGTCAAAATTCACTCGAGTTAATATAAAATTGCCGTAAGGGGCTTCTATTAACTGTCTATACTTTTCCACTTTAACGTCAAATCAATTGTCGTGATGTAGATATAATTAGATAAAGAATACCCAGTGGTTAATACTTGATTGTTTGAAGCTAATTGTACCAATTATAGTGATTAAGAAGGTAGTGGAAAAACATTTATTTAATGAAGAAGAAAACTCACGACATATGTCTTAGAAAGCGATCTGTTATCAAATTCCCAATTGTTGAGGAAATGAAATGGTAAAGTACGACCGAATCACAGAATATACACAATTGTGAATTGTATTATTGTTATTTTTAGATGCACAAATAATTGTCGTTGTTTCCAAATTAGAAGTTATCCAGAATGGGGACCCTTTGCATGTGACGATAATAAACTATTGGTTTGATATTTTTACAATTTTGGCATTCTATATAATATTTTACAATTTACATTTTGTATCTAGTTAAGTCTTGTTTTAGTTTATCAGAAGTTTTATAATAAGTATTGTATAATTACTTTTGTATATTGTAATGAGATCAGTGAGTCATTACAAAATAAAATACATATTTGTGTTTTCCTTTTATTTCATTTTAGACTTCCATGGTTTCCGTCTAAACATGTGTATAGGAAATCCCGAGAGTTTAAAGATTAGAGTTAGGATTAGATTTGAAGATTATGTCTTATAAACAATTTTTAAAAATTGTTGATTTGATGTATACTGCGATGCCTTTGAAGAGAGAATTTAGATATACACCTTAATTTTACATTTATAACCTGCTTTTAATTTACAGGTAATTAAAATATATTTTGGAGTCAACAACTAATGCCACAAATGTCATGTGGTGGTTTTAATAGAAATTATAATCCGATCCCGAATATAGTATACGTAGTGATATGTTTTATAATATAATTACCTGCTAATGCATTGGTACCATTTCCATCAAACGTTTTACTTGTCATTTCAAACAGGGCATCTAAAGGGGAAACTTTTGATTTGGTCTTTACTTTTGGACTGGGTTTTTCTTCTTCGTCTCCAACTATGTCTATTTCTATATCGCTATTGTCTGATTCTGAATCAACATCATCAAGAGCAGCTATTGAACTAGATCGTTTCCTTGAAGATGCTGCATCCCATGGGCGAACAATCTGTAGGCCTATATGGGGTGAAAAGTGTCCGTGTGATGGGGGTCCCCTTATATGAGGTGGTTGGTGTAAAGTACTACTATGAAACCTATTTAAAGGGCTTAAAGGTCCGTGAGTGTGCGTGTGTGAGGAAACACTCGATTCTTTACGTTTTTGGGCGCTCTTTGCAGCATCTTTATGAAGGATGTCTCTGATAAGAAAACTAGTGACTGGTTTGCTGGTTGATGGGTTCCTTGGGGGTGGTAACTGAGACAAAGCCATTACCTTAACGGGGGAGTAGCGCTCGTGTAAGCTATCATCCGAATCTGATGAACTATCTGCTCTACTGGACATTTTATCTCATCATTTAAACCTGAAAAATAATTTAATATTTCAATTGATCATAAATGTTTTGAATTTTGTTTATTATTTGGTTGTCATTTGTATATTTCGTGACGATGTTCGTTCCTGTACATCCCTTTACAGTTGCCTAGCAATTGCACTTGATCCCAGTCATCCTTTCATGTGCAAAAATTCATGATTAAAAGTTTAAATAAGTTAATGCCTATTTAATTGTTATAATTTCATGACAATGTGATTTTTGATTTAATTTGTCAATGAAAAAGCAGAAATTATTCTCCGTTATGTTATTAAGCTGCATTATATCAGTTTCTGTTATTTCTAAAAAATTATTCTAAAGTATTACTTACCGATTACCTTTAATGTATATGCCTTGTACTTTAAAGTCACCGACTACACTGAGGTTACTTATATAAGATATATTATGAAATGATAAACAACTGTGGCTCTTTTCAGTCTTCATAAACGATGTCATAAACGGAGACCAAAATGTCTTAGCTGAATCTCTTTTAAGAAACACTCAAAATTCACGTTATAGTCGTGTGCTCCTCTTAAGTCTTAAGTTGGCGTAAGTAGCGTTTTCGAATGACGTATCAAGTGTTAGACTTCCCTTGTTGCAAGATAAATGGCCAGCGGAACACTCGCCGACGTTAATATGGTCCTCGTTTTGCGCTGTTGTACTTACTAATCGTCCCTTACTGATGGTAATTGGTCCCTAATTCAATTACCAAAATGGCCCACAACTAGTTGACCAATCAGAAGAATCATAAGATATGGCAAAATTAATTAGCGGCGTTCCTCAAAGATATTTATTGATGCTTAACCGTACGTGGTAACACAGCCATAGTACATGATACCCGGGGATGTTTTGGTCGGTTTCGGGTATTAATTATGCACGCAGGCGCTATCATTTCATTGGCTCGTTAGCCATTGGGTCGTGCTTCGCGGAGATTCTGACATGTTGAATGATTTCTAAGAGCCATTTGCAAAGTCGAAGAGATAATTAGAAACCGGTATGGTCATTAGTAAATGATGGGAAATGCGAGCATTCGAGGTAGTTTTCAGTGACATATTGCGACATAAGAGACAGAGCTAGCTTTGTGAAATCACTGTTATGTTTGTTCTCAACACCTTTAGCGTTTCTTTGATTTATATAGCGCAACTGTAAAGTAATGAAAGAAGAAATAACAACCCTATATTATTCCCGTTATTTGTTCTTTCTTTCCAATAAGATTTTCTTATGTTTCTCCCGGGACACTTGCTCCCACCGGTACAATTCACGACTCTTACTCAAGAGCATAGATAATAGACTCATAGACGATAATTATGAAATAACTAGAATTAGTCCTGTCAAGAATATCAATTCCTTGTGCCAACACATTATTTTCATATGTGTTTTAACATGAGACAGTGATATATTCATTCAGCTTGAGGTACTATCACACCAATTTTTTAAACTCGAATCTAAAATAAATTTGCAGCTCAACTGATTGTGTTCACACAGAAAACACTACTGTATTGGAGGTAACTAAATCCTTATAGCACTACATAGGGGTGTCAGTAACACTGTTGTTGATGATTGATTGTTCTCCAACAGAGACCAACTGCCCTGTAGCTCATTAGAAACCAAGCATGGCCCATTGAAACAACAAAATTGCCAGAGTAACTCACAGAGAAAGACCACCTTGCGGAATAATTAGACAACTGTTTAATAATTATATGCAATGATAGAATTGCGGTGGTAAACGCTGAAAAAGACACAAAACATGTTTGGGAAGGTATAAATCTTTACTTCACATTGGAGGACTAATCAGGGTACTTAACATGTAAAATAGTTTTGATTAAATACCACAATATATTTAACTTTTATTTGTAGCCGTTTGAGAATCTATAATTTATGGCTATTTTGTGGTTTAGTTAAAGAGCGGTAGCTTTAATTAAAGACTAGAGTTAAGAGTACAAATGTTTCTTCCGACCCAAGGAGCATTGACAATACAACGATCGTTCCTCCCCTCGAAGAGGTATTCCACGTTCAATAAACATTCACTGCGACGTCGACCAGAGCCTACTAATTGTTAATGTAATTAATAAATGACGATAAAACATACATAAATTACAATAATGTCATCAGTAATTCTATGCTCTTGGTTGTTTGTTTCTTCGGTGTATTGTTGGACACCACGCTTCTTGTCCAAATTTACTTTCATCATGTCGCCAGTGTAACGTTCACGATGTTATAAATTATCATATATTATGTATTAGACACCGTTTGGGCATTTTTTACAGATGAAGTATCTTCATAAGCAAGTCAGTTTGATACAATTAATGATTAATTTAAAACATTGAGGTGCTCGTGATCAGGGTATGAACCATTTAGGCAACTTCTTCCCAGGTTCATTTTAATTTATTAAAATCTTCCGTATAATTAGAGAATATCAGATATAGCAAGCAGGCCAATAATTTTTTTTTAATTTAGAATATTTCTGGCTCATGACATTCCTTGTCATATCTATTTTCTAAAAATATGTGCACACTTTATTTCAGGAAAACTAAAGAGTTTTACAATAATGTAATATTTCTTGGTTACCATTCTTTTTAATTGTGAGAATTTAAACATTTTCACCCATTTTTGCACTTTGAATCTATATTAACTTCTTCAATTTGACAATTTACAACAAATCGTGATGAATCTTTTGGGATATAAGTTTTGAGATTGTAAGGAATAGATAGGTAGGTCATTTGTACATGTTGCTCGTAATTTTGTCACGCCTATAGATCTGATTCTGCCATTAACTAATGGAACAAACAGTTATATAGATGATGATATTAAATTATTGGTACTAATATAAGTATACATGTCCTATAAACGTTTTCGTTTTGGACTTGTTGCAACTGCAATGTTCTTTTATGACGTGCCGTGTTCCATTTTTAGTTGTCAATGCTCAGCATTTTATTAAGCCTAATGTTTGAAGTATCATAAAAAAGATGGATTAGCGTTTCAATTTTTATCGATAGGATATGCATGCTTAGTGCTTAGTAGCCGGGACAGAGCATGTCATCCCTATCTATTTTCCCGATAACTTTCAATTCTCAATGATTTTCACGAAAAATACAGAAAATGGTTCTTTAACAGAATTTGGCCATCATTTTCAACTCAAAAAGCTGTAATTATAAAGAAAATTGATAACTAGTTTAACAAAATTCTTTGTATGTTAGGAATGCTTTGGAGGCTATCCTGTGAAATTTTCATAAAAAAATATTGAGCATTGAAGGTGGAAAAATTATCAGGAAAAAGAGAGGAATGACTTGTTCTGTCCCGGCTACTACCATATTGTTCCGTAGTTTTGTGACATCATGCAACATAAGCTAATTACATTATATCATGGGTTGACACATTCAAAATATTAAACTAATTATAATATTACAATTCTTCATATTCGGAGATATGTAAATGAATGGTACTGAATTTATCATTGTAATATTCTATAATAATTATTCAAAGTCAACAATCATTTAAAGCAGATCCATCTTTCCAACTATAGCTAGTAAGCACAACTTAAAAGACGCTAGAATATGGAAATTGATTTGAATGATCAGATGAGACATCTTTCAAAATCAAAGGGAATTACTTTAAAGGTTGTGTGAAGAAGGGATAACTCCACAGATGGCGCTAGTGAAAAGGTAGAAGACAAAAAATCTAAATTTAAAATCGGGACAAAAAATCTAAATTTAAAATCGGGATGATTGTTGATTGAAATCAATATTTATCAGTGCAATCACCAGTGAAAATGTACAGATTTTATATTTTATTTTGTTTATCTCGTGTGTATATAGTTTTACAAAAAGTATGACGAAATGATTCGGTTCACTTCAAATATTTGACTTTTTGTGACGGTGGTCTTGAGTTTGAAATCTATTGAAAATTGTTTAAAATTCGGATAGATGGCGGAAAAAGCAGTCATATCTTTTTTTCTCAATGGGTGTTCTATGCAATTTTTGTTTTGATTTGAAAGGGGACATATGGAGCTATCCCGTGGTATATGGGGTTATGTACCGAAAATCCTCGTTTTTTCATAATCAATTCAAAGATTTCAATATTTTCACATTGGATTACATTACAGCATTTATCTGTGGAATTGTCCCGAAGTCGGCGATTTAGCATTTTCCTTCGTGACTTGTATAGCCATCTATATTTCAAAATCAAAAACAGTTTTAGATTAGTTGTCCATCCTGAAAAAGTTAAAAAGCAGAAATCAACATTACACAATCACAAAACAAAAGCAAACCCCATTCAGTTAACATTCACTGCAAATAGACTATATAGCAAGAACAGACGCACATCGAAACAGGTCTAGTCAATGGAAAGCTTTCTACATTCACACACTTGAAATCTTTCTAAACTCTTGATTTCTCATCTATGATGCAAAACAAGAACTGCAATGTCATAAATTATTTTTATTGTTTTGGAATAACCATACTCTTCATAAAGATCAACAGTTGAAGAATACAAACAAACATAAACGTTAATAAATAAAACTATTCTGCAATTCGAAAAAGGGCACTGTGGTTTGGTATTATGCATATATGCACAGATATTGGTGACCCAATGTCAAACGACATACACATACTAATTAGTGCCGAGACTTCAAAGAATATAACCGAATAATTATTCTAGAATTATTCATTTGACAAAGCATCGAATTCAAACCTAGATGTCAGATATCACTTTGGGTTTTTATGTAAGCATGCATGTTAAATTGAAAAACATGTATTAGCACTACCTGTCAATGTTGACTTTAGCAGAGCTTTATAAAGTATTCGGAGTCAACAATTTGCTGGTTTTGATCTTGAATAGCGAGTGGCCAAGAATGATGCGATAAGAGAGAGTCAATATAATTATATAGGGGGGTCAATTCAATTCGAAACACATGACAATGTTTAAGTAGCAGCGATCATTCAATACGAACAGCAAACATTAAGAATTTTTTTATTTCGTACTACAACAACAGTTAAACAACCTAGACGGTGACTGGACAGAGGACAACAGATAAAATGGATGGTAAACATAACAAAGCTTTCCAAGCGGACGACACTGGAAACCAAATTGAACTAAATAACGTGTACTATGCATCTAAGTATGCTAGCGATGACACCAATAAAGCACATAAACAAGATTTGGAATCAATTGCAATTGACTCAGGCTTAACCGACAAGAAAGACACAAACGAAGGTGATAATGACGGAAACTGTTGCACAAGAGGAATCGCAACAATACACACCTCAATCACAGGATTAATGACTGATAATGTAAAGCTTATTTCAAGAATTGTTCTTGTGATACTTCTTCTGTTGTACAGCGCATATCTTGGCTATGCCATCTACCTCAGTCCCTCTGGAGCCATTGCTTTGATTGTAATCACTGTGTTTGTCCTTGTTTGTCTTGTGTATGGCTATATCAGAGATAGGCATGGTGATAGGATAAACGAGGCAGTCTGTGTACCATTGGGAATATACATAGACAAGGCATGGCCATGTTTAAAATGGTAAGACTCATTTCAATTAGAAGATTTAGAATTATAGATCATGTATGGATGTGTATGTACATGTATGGGTCCACATTATTCACAAGGAATAGCACTTGGAAATAATCATGACTTGTGACATGAACTTAACGTAATACGAACAAACGAAACGGACAGCATCATAATTTGACAATTATAAGAGTATGCCAACTTTTCAAGTGTTCACATATTCATTTCTTCTTATTTCAGGCTCGTGTATGTATGCTTAATAGTTGGTCTTATTGTGTTCCTGGTGTTAAACTCGCTAGATAAACCAGACAAACTCATTTCTGCCGGGGGACTCGTTCTGTGGGTCATGTTATTATTTATAACATCAAAAAGTCCCCATAAAGTAGGTTTTTATATACATCGCCTACTATTGACATTGTAGTCTTACTTTCTCATAAAAGTACAGTTTTTATTGAATGCTTCAGCAATTGTTTATTCTGTGTTTATGTAAAATGCATGTGCTTAAACTTTTGTTCAAACTGTATTTAACCAGTGGTACTTAGTTATAGACATAACATCCTCTTCAGAATTTATCCTAATTTATGTTGTTAAACAATCTATAAAATGATACTTGATACATACATTGTTTGCATTTTACAGGTAAACTGGAGACCAGTGATTTGGGGGCTAGCTCTTCAATTCATCTTTGGTCTTCTAGTGCTTCGTTGGTCCGTTGGATATACAGCCTTCCAGTTTATCGGAAGTCAAGTGGAAACATTCCTAGCATATACAGATGAGGGTTCCAAATTTGTTTTCGGAGATCCTCAATATCTTCTCCATGCCGTGGCATTCAAGGTATAAATATATAGAACACAAAGTTCTGGAAAATGAAAAGACAGCACAAGATCGAGAAATTAAAACCTACAATCACAACTCTTGTAATACACCTTTGTAATACATTGAACACGTTTATAGAAATGAAGCCAACGTTTTTTCTTTGGAAATCATTGTAACGTTCTGTCTTTACATGGTATGTGAAAAACTTGTGAAACTAGGAACTATCAATAATGGTTTATAATATATTTGGGCGATTTGTACATTTCAATGTTATTGTCGTCAGCCTAGGATGAATGAAGTCCTAGTCAGCCACAATTCAGGATTGGTATACTGTTGTTCAGTCCTGTGTTGTTATACTATTTTTAAAGTTGATTTTAATGTGATACTATGTAGATGCATAATATTTTTCCAATTGGAATTATTAAGAATGTTTCAGAAATCCAATGGCCCCGTAGTGCCCCTCGGTACTATCATACATTGTCCTTATCACTAAATTGGCTATCATGTGGAATAGATCGTATATTATCACTGTGATTATTGCTGGTGTGGCTTGTAATGTTTCAGGGATTCATTAATTCAGAAGTGCCTCCTTGTATGGATACGTATATTATCCCCATCGCTTAATTAGCTATTTGTCTAGATTTAATTTACCTTTTCAGATTCTCCCTGTTATAGTGTACTTCAGTTCCGTCATCTCCATCTTGTACTACATTGGTGTGATGCAGATCATCATCTCTAAGATTGCATGGTTGATGCAGGTCACCATGGGAACCACAGGGGTGGAATCCCTGAGTGCTGCTGCAAACATATTTTTAGGCCAGGTATAACTATATGCACACTTCTGTGTAAATTCATCACTCTGGTATTATATTTTTATATATTTATATTAATATTTTATCATCATTTTTTATGTGTATATTGTTGTGATATATGGAGTCATGTAATTAAGGACAGTCAGTATAGATGGCACAACACTTACGTATATTGTATTTCGTGCATTGCAAATTCGTTCTAGTAGCGTTGGTGCTTTTCATTTTCTCTGTCGTTCCGTGTATAATGCTAGGCTCGACTTATTGTATTGTCGATGTTCTCTTTATTTTTTTGTCTTTGTTTTTGTATCCAGGTTGAATCCAGTGTAATCCTGAGACCATTCTTGATGAAATTGACGGAGTCGGAATTGCACGCTGTATTGACTGGAGGATTCGCCACCATTGCAGGAACAGTTGTCGCAGCTTTCATCAATTTCAAGGTATACAAATACACTATTTTGTGTTTAAAAGCAAACCTGGTTTTACTTGAATATTCATAACTTAATCAAACGAACTTACAACTCTCCTATCGAATTTGAAAATGGTGTGTGTATTCACAAAGTTTTCAATAACTATGTTTTGGATAGAATTCATAGTTTCGGATAGAATTCAATAATTCAACTATGTGCAAGTTCAAAGATGGCAGTTATATCTATCTCAGGAATTGGAAGAGGTTTTGTGTTTGCAATGGACGAATATGCTATTGACTAGCTCCACGTTCCATAAATTGTGTTTATGTATTTTAGGCCCCAGCAGAACACGTACTATCGGCAGCGATTATGAGTGCCCCAGCAGCTCTTGCAATTGCCAAACTTAACTTTCCAGAGACGGAGGAATCTTGTCTTGTTACCCAAGATGATGTAAAGCTAGAGAAAGGGTAAGCAAAGAAGATGACCAGAAACTTCAGGAAGCATTTTAAGAAGACAAACAAACCTGAGTTCAATTAAGTGGTCTCTGTTTATCGATCTGATTTCGTGAAATAGATAATTCAAAATATTAAGACATGGAGTCCAGTTAACTATGAACAATAAATGACAATCAGAATATCTATTTTGACAATTATTGCACACGTATTTATTATAGTATTCTAATTTCATTTCAGGAGCGAGAGGAATATTCTCGAAGCCGCGAGTAATGGAGCAGTAGCTGCCATTAAACTTGTTGCAGGCGTTGTGGTGAATCTGATAGCCTTTATATCACTACTAGCATTCTTGAATGCAACATTGTCTTACCTTGGTTCGATAGTTGGTTACCCGGAAGTCAGCTTTGAGGTATTGACGTCATTCAATACATATTGTATTTAGTTTTAAAATCTAAAAACAAACAAACAGAAAATTAATCAATTACTAAATCAAACGAACAAACAAGCAACAAACAAACCGTTACAGATCTATTGATAAAAAATCAAATCTATAATCTGAAGTTAAAGATACTTAAGGTCGATTTGTGGTTATTCCTACCCCGTGTATTCGTTCGACTTCACTTCTTAAAAGAGAGCTTCTAACCCTTCTATTCGTCTTCGGTGGTTTATAACTAAGCTCTGCGCGCAGGGTAGGTTATTACATTCAAGAGTACTTGTACTTGCAATGAATATGTTCTTATGTGTTCATAGGTAACTACAAACAGTACATGTACTTGCAGTGGATATGTTCTTAATGTGTTCATTGGTAAATACAAACATTACATGTACTTGCAGTGGATATGTTCTTATGTGTTCATAGGTAACTACAAACAGTACATGTACTTGCAGTGGATATGTTCTTATGTGTTCATTGGTAAATACAAACATTACATGTACTTGCAGTGGATATGTTCTTATGTGTTCATTGGTAAATACAAACATTACATGTACTTGCAGTGGATATGTTCTTAATGTGTTCATTGGTAAATACAAACATTACATGTACTTGCAGTGGATATGTTCTTATGTGTTCATAGGTAACTACAAACAGTACATGTACTTGCAGTGGATATGTTCTTAATGTGTTCATTGGTAAATACAAACATTACATGTACTTGCAGTGGATATGTTCTTATGTGTTCATAGGTAACTACAAACAGTACATGTACTTGCAGTGGATATGTTCTTATGTGTTCATTGGTAAATACAAACATTACATGTACTTGCAGTGGATATGTTCTTATGTGTTCATAGGTAACTACAAACAGTACATGTACTTGCAGTGGATATGTTCTTATGTGTTCATTGGTAAATACAAACATTACATGTACTTGCAGTGTATATGTTCTTATGTGTTCATTGGTAAATACAAACATTACATGTACTTGCAGTGGATATGTCCTTATGTGTTCATTGGTAAATACAAACATTACATGTACTTGCAGTGGATATGTTCTTATGTGTTCATTGGTAAATACAAACATTACATGTACTTGCAGTGGATATGTTCTTATGTGTTCATTGGTAAATACAAACATTACATGTACTTGCAGTGGATATGTTCTTATGTGTTCATGCCAGTTGCGTTCATGATGGGCATACAATGGGAGGATGCAGGCAAGGTGGGGAGTCTTATAGGAACAAAGATCTTTCTGAATGAATTCGTAGCATATAGTAGACTTCAACCCCTGGTTGACGCTGGTGAAATTTCGGTAAATAAATTCATACATTACCCTTTCCATGTTTAAATTTTTTTAATGTTTTTGCACTAAATTACAAACGGAAACTAATTACCCTAACTATGGGATGAAACAATTTAATCATGGTCTCAAGGTTATATATGTAAGTCAAAGTCATGTGGTCTTAAACGCCTAATTTGTTGATTAATAGATAATGCCAGAGTATTCAAAGTGCTAACATTAGAAGATTCCGTCATGCAACGTGTTTACTTTGATCTATTTAATAAAATGTTTTTCTCTTATGCTACCAATGTACTTCCTAATCCTCCAATTTTTCTTTCAGACCCGCTCTGTTGTTATAGCGACGTACGCATTGTGTGGGTTCGGAAGTGTTGCTGCCATAGGGATCAATCTGGGTGCGCTGGGTGCCATGGCTCCCCTGCGACGCTCAGAAATGGCTTCAAAAATGTTACGCGCAATGATAAGTGGAAATATTGCGTGTTTCATGACAGCATGTATTGCAGGTACTTTGTTCAAAATAAAAAAAATCACTATATGATTTCGTGGAAAGAGAACAGAAACATTTGCAAACAGTCAAGTAACAGTCACAAAATTGGTACGATTTTCTCACCATTTCCGGCAATATCTTTTTTATCGAAGGCCATGAAGTGTGTCTTCATACTGCATACTTCAATTTATGCAAAATATTTTATATCAATTTTTCAGTACATAGATACATTTTATAGTCTCACATCCCAAGAGGTAATAAATATCCATTAATAATGTATGCATAATACACTGAACACAATTTTACTGAGATTACAACAATGGAATGTTTGTTTTCAGGTCTCTTATACGTAGACGGTGAGACAATAGACATATTAAGGTCAGCCAATGGAACAGCTATACTCCAATCAACAACAATATCAGCCTGACATTAAAACTTAGTATTCAGTTACAAAAAATATACTTGGTGATGGTGATTAAGGATTCCTTGATTGTAGCATGGGCTTTCAACTGGGTATTGAAAGCCCATGATTGTAGTAGTGCTATATTGGAACGTGATAAGATGATACAGTGTAGGCCTACCTTGTTATTGAATATAAGTAAATTATTGGTCAAAATTCGCATAAGTAGTAGCCACTGTTACTTACTGTTTCCCTTATCCCCTGGTAGAATAAACTGCTAGGTGTATGTGTCACCTGGAAATAGAGACCTAATTAAATCTCCAACGTGATACTGTAGCTTCTAAAGGAATTAACACAGGTGCAGCAGGTGATCTACGGCATTGATATGCGGAGGGCGAATTCACGATCCTCCATCAAGGAAAGTTATCAGCGACATTATTTTAATATCCTGATCTGATACAGACGTTAATTGATGTTGACTTTTTGTTTCAATATACAATTCATCATCATAAACGAATTATGTATTAATTTGAATTATTCACAAGAAACACATTTTTTATTTATATACATTCATAATAATAATCGTACATACAAAGTCCATGATGATACCATTTGATATACACTCATTGAACTTGTGTATCTATAAAATGTTTGTTTACCCATGACATAATAAGTTATAAATCTAGACGTTACAATTAGTTTGGTGTTTGGAGTTGTTACCCCCCGTAAACTATACGTAATATGAAATTAGTATTTGCAATCTGGACACGGATTACAAATAAATCATCAATAGTATATTGTAATTTCATCCAATGGTACATTGTAGGAACTATTTACTCTCTCGGAAATTGGTATTTATTACATTCCGTGGATAAATAATCACATATTAAATGTTATATTGTCAACTTTTCCGGTATGGCTCCAATGTCATTTAAAGAACAATTCATTGTAATTGTTTAATTTGTTTTCCCTGTTGACTGGACGAGTTACTTACATGACTTAGATCTCAGGACTCTCATAAGGAGTTTCCGTCGTTAGCTATTTCGACAACAGTCTCTCAAGCACTTACAGAAAAGAAACTGATGGTTAAGGGTGTTAGACATAAAGATTTTGTAAGATTCAAGAGGATTTATCCATCAATAGAAATCAGAAATAGAAAAAGAAAACGTTCGTTCTCAGTTGTGTAGCAAAATTAATACTTTTAGTTATTAATTATTCAATATCGCTTACCAAATCCACAGGGTAGGGCTACATATTGTTGTTGTACAATGGCTGCGTAATAGGAAATATCTAAATGGTAAGTATATTGTTCTAATAAATAAAATATAATCTTCCTTACCATTGTCGCTCTGAGATTAAAGGATTCGATAAATTGTTACAATAAAAATCATTTGAAAACTGTGTATTCAAAGTAAGAACTTTTATTGTTTCGAAACTATCAACAGAATAGTAGCTTTAACTTTACATGTTTTATAATGTTTAACAATCAAATAGGCTTTTTTACGATTTATCATCAAATCACTTGACTCTGCATTTTAGACGGCGCTCTTTTGTAAATATGGGAAAAGTTATTTCACGATTCCAATCAATCACTTATATAAATACAAAAAGACAAACCACATTCGTCTATAGAATTAATCCCGGGTGTACAAATAAAATGATAATAAAACATGATGTCCTACAAGTAGATTGTTGACAATATTCTATTGTTAGTATCTTTAGATAATTGACAATTTTGATTTCATTTATAGCGATTAGACTTTACTTTTATTTTAGTTACTAAGCCTCTCGACGGTCATATATGAAATCAGCAAGTGTACATGTCTCATAAATAAGTAAAGGTAAGAAAATTAGATTATAAGAAGAACTATTAACGGGTTTGATAACTAATTTTCAAAGACACTTTGTACAACCGTATGTCGAAAAATCAGGAGTACTAAGATATGCTTAATTTTGTACTCGTCAGTACAGATTCCAATTTAATATATACGAGTATTTTGGGTGGTTGTACTATAATATTTTTTACAATATAAGTATAACGTCTTGTGACATATAATGTTTTGTGGTACAATTCTAAACTTGTTTGTTTGGATAAATGCTTTCATGTTGTTTCTTTTCCTTTTTGAATAAAAAGTATTATTATCTTTGGATATATATGTTTGTAAGATATACATCTTTTGTTGATTATGCCGTTATGTCGTTTGTTAAATATATAGTTTGTTTAATGTATATATTGTTTGTTGGATACTTGCTGTGTCTTGCATATATTTTGTTTGTTTGATAAATATATTTAAGGAATAAAGACCGAGATTTTATGATTCATGGCGTAATATATGACCGAAAGTTTTATTCTGTTCATTGTTAAAAGACCGAAATCGCGGAGCGATAGAGTAAATAAAATTTGAGGTTATATATTTGACATAAATCATAAAATCGAGGTCTTCGTTATGATTCTTATATGATAAACAGACAAGAAACACAACTATTTGCATTTATGAAGTTTAGCGGTCATACATACTCCAATATAGACCGGTAAATAAATTGTTCTAGTTATTGTGACGTCACGTATCATATTAGAATGCTGGATATAAATTGCTTATTTGATATACGCGCTATATGTTGGATATATATTGTTTGTTGGTTTTGTTGTTTATAGAATACGTGACTGTAACATCAAGTTGCTGTTTGATGGATGTATATTATTTGTGGCATTTTGGTTTTTTGAATATCACCCTATGCTTAGTGAGCGGACCTAATTTCAAGGGTGATGGTAAGACGAGGCATGGCGCCCAAAAACCAAAGAATATTAGTACCATAATCTTTTAAGTCGTATTATTGCAGCATTAGGTGATGATATTGTGATATTTTATGCTGTTTTAGAAGTGAAAGATGTTAAACTATGCATACTGTTTGTTTTACATCCAATAAAACGAATAGTTAAGATGAAACAGTCGTTTAAAGATACAATTTGAATTTACCGCAAGAAATTACAACATAATATTGTCAATATGTCAATAATTCCTGATCGATGTCACATATAAAGATATATGTACCTAGATATGTTTTATTTTTTCATATATGCGAAATAAGGCGGTCTCTAGTTATGTACATCCAATACAAAATGAATGTTTACTATTCGGCGATCAGAATTTCGATGACGAGCGATGGCGATGTAATTTGCGAAGAAAGCATCAGTGCACCTAGTTACAGGCCAGGTTTGGGCGCCATGCATCGTCTTTACCATCACCCTTGATATTAGGTCCGCTCACTAAGCATAGGGTGAATATATGCTGTTTCCTTGTGTGTCATTTTCATCGTTTCCAAAATGCATTCGACATAATTTGGGATTCTCTTAATGTTCTAAAATTAGATATCAAGAATGTTGTTCTTGTTTCATAAAAACTAGTAATGACTGAAATGTCTATTATCTTAAAAATGTGATATTTATAGAAATGCTCATCACATGGAAATAATAAAAAGAATCTGAATGGATTATTGACAGTGGGCAATCTGTGAAAACTGAATTATTTAGTATCTTATAAATAAATATAATATATTTGTATTTTCCAGACGTTTCCAGATCCTCCAAGGACGAATATGATTTTACAAAGTTGATATAGGAATTTTATTTGCCTTATTACATTTATTTGGAGTCAAGTGGTAACGACACGAAACTTATGTATCAACGAACCATGAATTACGAACAAAGGGACACTGTTACAGGGAACAATGGCTGACTGAACGACAATTTGTATGAACTTGGAATAAGTCCAGTCTATACAAATTGCACTAATCTGATAAACCATTAATCTATAAGCCAAGATTAATAAATACGAATTACCGACTATAGAAAATATTGTACTTTTCAAAGTTGTTAAATATGATTAGTCACTTTACAATGTTTAACAATAGAAATATTACCGAAGCCTTTAAACGATCAGAAACAAATCCTCTTACTGCAAACGAATATCAGATCTTATCCAACAACCCTCTGTGTCGAAGAAAGGGTAAGATCAACAAACCATCAACATGGCGAAGGCAATTGACCAAAGTGCTATTAAAAGCTCAAAGGAGACTAACAATTGGAACATAGGTCATTCAGTTAAGACAGGAAATTCTCAGAACGACGTGGGGGAATATGTCTCGGACAATCCAAGCAACAAGAAGAAAAGGAAACGGAAATCAAAATCGAAATCGGAAGGAATGTTGGATAGGTTACGAGGGAGTCTAAAAGTACGATCAAATATGTTGAAAAAGGTTAAAAAATCAAATAATTTGGAGTACCAGTCTGGAAATGATTGTCTCCAAGGTGATACTGATACAGAAGAATCCCAGCTCGAAACTCTCCATGAAGACTTTTCACTTAATGCCCCTACTGCACCAAAATCATTCAACTCAACCATGAACACCAAGTTCAATAGGAGGCCCAGCTTGGCTGGAAGTAGACGCATTAGTATGAGGAGCGTATCTGATTCAGATATTACGTCAATCGGCGAGGATTCAGTGTTTCGACCAGAACTGCCTTTTTTAAATAGAAAAGCAAGTATACGTACTACTCTCAATAAAATGGGATATGATATTAAACCAAAAAAGGCCCCAACTGTTGAAAAGGAACTTACAAATGATGAATTAGAGATTATTGACAGAGGTATTGAGGACTTTACCGGACTTCGAAAACAAAGTTTAAACAGTCGGATGATCATGAGAACACAGTTGAAAGGTGGTCGAAGCAAACTTGACCCCGTTAACAAAACAAAATCTCAAGTTCTTACCTTAGAGACAATCAACAGTGCTGACGATCTTGAATCATTGAACAAACGTGCCAAATTGCCAAATATAAGCCAGCAACATACAATGATCAATCAGTCATTCGAGTCAACATTACAAGGTCGATTGAGTCGGCAGCAATCTGTCCCAAAAGAAATTGGTACTTCATCTACCGAGTCAACGTTCACAGGTAGACTAAGTAGAAAAGATAGCCTCGTTAGGCGAACAAGTGTCTCTAGCCTTGTGAGCAGTCAAGGTAGTGAGGATCACAGATATTCAATCGGACGACGGTCGAGTATTATAGGGAAAGATCCCACAGGAGGTCGAAGGAAGAGTGTCAAAGAAGTGTTTAGCCATGTTACAGCAGCCAATACAATCACCTCGATGATGTCACGACGGAGGGGTTCAAAAGAATCTCAAGATGCGAACAACCAGGAAGGAAACCTATTAAGGCGAAGGAGTTCAGTTAGATTAGCCAATGTTCTTGGGTCGATGAACAAGAAACGGATTGATAGAAAAGCAAGTGTAAGCGATGGGCTTGTTGGAATTGTTCAAACAAAACATGAAATGGCCAGGCGAAAACGAAGGGTACGGTTTGTGCTATATTGTTATTCACTGTACAATCTTGATTTGCAATAAATCTAATAAATATATAGAACATGATATTAGGGGTAAACGAAAAAGGCATACTATTATACAATATTTTAACATGATTATAAGACTGATTGCAAATTGATGCACTCACTCTATTATCTTTTCAAAAATATATAGTCGATGTGTTTCTCTTTCAGATCCAACTTGGATTGAAATTCAAAAGGATTGCCCGCTTCTTGTTGAAGTTCCTCCGACTTTGCACAGAATTTCACGAGCGGATGAAAAGAGATGTTCTCCGTTA